TTTTTCACGATTTTGATATTTTTCGTGCCAGGAAAACGTCAGATACCCGGTATTTCGGACTAATGGAGCACTAGTCAGTGGAGAGCTGCAAATTGTGTCCTGTACTCAGCACTGATGGCCATTGAGCAGTGACGCGGAGGGATCTTTTTTCATGCTAGCACCTATTGCGACATGGGACCTCGGTTTAAAGGGTCTCAACCGAAGGAACAGTCTCCACGCCCCACATTCGGATTCGAACCCGCGACGTAAAGATTGACTCCTTACCCAGCGACTGTAGAGCAGACGCTCTAACAACTGCGCCATTGTAGATGGGTACATAATAAATGAATAATAATTATAACAGTTACTTGATCCTAAGAGCTTTATCAGTCTCGTTGACGGGCGTAAATCATCAGATCAGACGAGACGTGACGCAATACGGCTATTCTGATCAAGTTTATGTTATAATAGCATATATAGAAAGATAACTAAATTTTGTCTTTAAGGATAGACGATATGTGCCATAAATACTAGAATCTCTGTTTTTGTCTTCATTATGTATGAAAACTATATTCAAAACTTTTAATTTTCTGATTTCTAAACCGGTTTCTAACTCTCCTTGAAAAGTTGAAACACTGAAAAATTTGATATTGTCAAAACATTTACCTGATATGAAAAACTCTTCTCTGGTATCTTGCACAAATGCCTGATAAGGTACCTTAATATATTGTGAGTAAGCATGTTAATGTAACAAAAAGCAAACTCTTGGGGAAAGTATCATCTCGTTTGTTAAACAGTTAGCCCTTATTATCTATAGTCATAAAAACCTATAAATATGAAACAGATGTAGTGTTTCAGGTGTCCTTAATTTAAATTTCAGTAGGACATACCTAGTTGACATTTCAAGAAAGTAAGTTTGCACGTTAATTGATAATAAATATTTACGACATACTTTAACTTAATGTCGAGTTGAAGACCACAGCATTTTTTTTTTTCATCTTATCATGTAGACGTTTTTGATTAAATTCTGCTTCAAAGGAATATAACAACAGGTCAGCTGATAAAGGAACACATTTAGTGCCCATCGGGATTCCAAAAGTTGTTGGAAGATCTGGTCTCTGAAAACTTCATAAATATTGTAAATAAGGAACTCATCATCCTTTCAATACAAACTTCAGAGTACTTTTGTGTAAATTCAGATACTTCTTTTACAAATCATATTGTGCAAGACCAAATACTGTATAGGAAAATTTCCAACTTCCAATTTTATTGGAAAAAGCAGTGTCTGTTATATAAAAAAAACCTAGTATTAATTTATGGTGAGGAATGATTGTGTAAAGTATATCGAGGAAGTATATTTACGTTATGACTTTAGAATTATTTTCAATCTTCTACAAGATTGTTTTGAGTTTTTGAGAATTCTTATCTGATTAACACCACTTCTATAAATGAAATCTAACAGTACATCTGAATTTTCTCCTTCATAACAGCTAATATTTCTGTAAGGAATAAAAATAGGGCTTGGAGAGCATCTGCTTGACCATCCAATATAATTCCGTTTGTGAGGCTTGTTGTGAAGTTTAGGAATCAAGTGTAGGAAGGAAAGGTCAAATTCAGCTTGGTTGACTGGAATATCTTAAGCATTTAAATTTTTTAAATGATTCTTTGATATATTTTCAGACAATCCTAATAAATCTGACAGTGTTCAGATCTTCCTTTTCATATTTAGCCCATAACAATGTCTGATGTAAGCGGATGTTCTATAAATGTCAAGATTCTATCTATTAATAAAATTCACGTTCTTGTGAATATATAGGAAAAGTGAATGAAAGACCACTTAATCATGACATGAACATCATGCAGCAATGCTCATAAAATTCTTGTTCTTCAACAAATCATTTATTGACGAATGTTTTTAGTTGTATTTTGGACGCCTATTGTCGATTTGTGTAAAGATATTACACATAAGGCTTCACGACGGCAGCTTAAACACAATCTTTTTCATCAAAAGGATGAACAAAGGAGATCATATTGTAGTCTTAATAGTTCTTAAGGATCGGGAAATGAAAGAAACTGATAAAAGAGTGCTATTTAATATCCCATCCTTGTCGTGAGATTGACAGGGATAACTTTTTAATGCATCTCTCTTTTTATCAATTTGGTTTATAGCCTCAATTTTTGTTTTTAATTATTAAAAGGTAATAAAATACATTTTGATATGAAAATGCCGATATTTGCCATATGATCTTGAACTATCAAATGAATAATAAAAGAAAAAAGTTGATATTTACTGTCTCTATATCTAGGCATAGAAAAACAAATTTTAAATAGCTATTTTTTACGATATAAATCAAATCAAACAATTCTTTTTCATGGTCGTAGGAGGAATGCTTCAAATAAGACCAGTAAGTATTTCCCTTACGGAGCTGGGAAGGGGGGGGTGAGGGCTCAAATAAATCTATCGATACATGGTAAACTATAGACAAACCTATTTTATAACTTTGCCCACCCCCTTATAAATAAAGACTAAAGGCAATACGTTTACCGCCTTAACCAACTATACAGTAAATAATTTAGCTCTTGAAATATGAAATATACGGAGATAGCGAAAAGTACTTTGTTTACATATGAAGCAGAATTTGTCCAATTTTTTTTTCATAAAAAGAAGAAAATAAGGTTTTTTGTTATTTTACAAAACCTTTAATTTGTAAACCCGGTTCCTCCAGTGACCCAGTTTTACCGCGTCCATAAATTTTGTCAAGGCCTTAGTTGTTTTCAGGCAATCAGATTGCCGCTCAATGCATCCTATTTATATACTTCTTGTTTACTCAGTGCTGCCGCGAAATTTTTGTGAACAAAAAAGCAACTACCACCTCCACTCCACCCCCACCCCCCATTTTTTTTAATTAACCACATATTTTTTATTTGTGTGTCCGTAGGCGCTTTTTATGCACCACTTTTGTTTCCAATAAAGTTTGATGTTGTATGTTGTAACAATATTGTGGCTGGGAGACCACTGTTTTTGCATTTTTGGTCAAGCTTTCCATGATTCTGGTATGTCTCCCAGCCAAATTCTTTTTAAATGGATTTCATTTTTCGTCATTTAAATAAATGACAAGATTTTTACACTTAACATGTCTTCTGTTATGAATTTTGGAAACAAACAGAGCTGCTATGTTGCCTTGGTGTGCCAGTAAAGTTTTAACATAAAACAACAACATTTAGGTATATCGACGTATTTAACAACGGTTATTTCTATCCTTATGTCGATACGATATATCCCATTGAGCTTGAGATAAAAGATACCACAGAGTCTGCATGACACATCTGTTTCATATTTGGGTATTTTACTTGACAAAGACGTTAATGGTAATCTGACAACCAAGCATAATTACAAATGATGATTTTAACTTTTCAATCGTTAGCTTCCCTTACTTATACAGCAATATACCTTCTTCACCTGCATACGGAGTTTATAACTCTCCGTTGATTCGATACGCAGGAGCATGCCCTTCGCATGTACAATTTCTAAAATGACGTAAATCATTGACAAACAAGTCGATCATTTCGTAAGTTCTATGGTTGATACAATGATCTTGTAAGAAAATACAAATTATCATTGGCTCAAATGCTGACTGATGTTTTTCATACCAATTGTGAGTCCATTATTCATACACAGAATTCACGACGTATTTTCCCGTTTTTTTTCCGATCACGACAAGGAGCACAAGGCTGATGTGACTGATCAGCAGGGGACGCTCACTCCTCCATGGCACCTGATCCCATCTCAAACATATTGGAGCTCCCTGTTTACTCTGCACTTATTTTGGATTGTTTTACGGTATTTTGATCTTGAATACTGTTCGGTATCTCCATATATTTCATTCAAACTCCAAAACATTAAAGATGGGATCAGGTGCGATGGAGGAATGAGCATTCTCTGCATTTCGACTTATTTTTTTTTTTAAAACAAATTAATAATTTTTTTAGTTTTATGCTAAGATATTGCAGAAGCCCTTATTTTATGTGAGAATGGCAAATATTGAAAAAGGATCCTCTTAAAGATAATCTGACTTCATTAATGAATATTCGTCTCCACCATGTTATCAAAAAGGATAATAGATCTACAGATTTGATGAAAAGCTGAAATTGATGGAAGCGTATTAGTAAGACTTAGAGATATAATTCATGGCAAATGATAAGTAAGATTTACGTACGAAAAATGCGAAAATTGTCAAAAATGCCAAAGACTAAGTCAAATTTCTTTGACAGAAATTACAGTATCTATTAGACTTAATAAAGGTTTATTTTATTCATTTATTAGAAAAATTTTCCGAGTTCACGATGAGTTGTTAGTTGATAAAATACGTAAATTTGATATGATTACTTGACATGGATTCGCAAAATAAGAATTGTAGTGTAATCATCTCCTTAAATGACGTCCCCACATCGAGTCAGTTGTGTTACAATAACAAATTATGTAGGTGATGTTGGTATATAATTACATGAATGAGAGAAGTTAACGATAGAACATCTGGAATCATCCAAGTAATCACACAGATTAGTTTTTAATTGGCAATTATCGTCTATTTTTTGGTAAACAACCAAATATGAAATAGATTTGACAGACTTTGTAGTGTCGTATTTTGAAGTTCACTGGGATATCGAGTCGACATGTGAATGAAATTAACCTTTATTATTGATAAAACTTCTTATATATATATATAACTAACGGATGCAAGACTTTTCTTCTTCTTGTTGTGTAGAAGTTTTTCAATAAGTTCTGCTTTTAGCTGATACCTTTAAGTCCAAATTGGAAAAAAATGAAATGTGATGCGAAAAAAATCTCTGCCACTCATTGCTGTACAAGACAGATCTTAAAGCAATCAATATGACTTACGGCTTCGTTCCATAAACTTTGGTTCAGTGTTCACAGGACTCTTACTTGTAAAAAGTCCAATTTTCTATGAGAATAATTCCCTACATCATTTACTTTTCACAAGGAATGTTTGAAAATGACATTGGAATCATTCACATTAAATAACAGTAATATGATTAAAAATTTCACAGAGGATGGACATTATTTTGATTTTTACTCTGATTACCACTATAACTATGATGATTCACACACACTTCCTTTGGAGGAATTAATACCCGTGTCTGTGGCCTATGGCTTGACATTGGTAATTGGAATCACGGGAAATATACTGGTTATCGCCTCCGTGATAAGATTTCGGAAACTCCATAGTGTCACGAATGTCTTTTTGCTGAGTTTGGCCTCGGCGGATTTGCTTTTGGTTACCATTTGTGTTCCAGTCAAGGTAATGTTACCTGAGCTATAACACTAATTGTGATGTTCTGTATTGTAATCCATCATGAAACTTGGTTTGTTAAATACATAATAATTGTATAAAGATAGTTCGAATATATACGTAAATTGGAGAAACTCAGTTCTTTTTTTTTTGTCTCTATTTTTTACATTCTTTATTATGTGTTCTCTTTTTTTCATAGACAATGCTAAGATTCCAATATTTTTAATACTTAGAATTTCTGAAAACAAAGATTAAAAATGGCTTTTATTTTTTGTGTTGCTGGCAATTTTGATTTTTAATATGACATCTTTAAAAAATTCTACAATTCCAAATAAAGATGGTGGGTACCATTTTATTATAAATAATTTTCCCCCTAAATGCTATATTTCAAATTTGTATACAGAAATTAGCAAAGAATCAGTACCCTATTTATTGGCGATTCCATGTTACAATTTTGAAGCTCATGTCACTTTTTCCTTTCTATTAGTTTTCTTAGAGTTTCATTCTCACAAGAGACTTTTGACTCTTAATGAAGACGAAGACGTGGCATTCAAGAGGCAAATGTCTTTTATAATTTTGCGTGATCATAACTCATTTTCGACAAAAAGATCCTTTGAAGAAAGGTTGTTAGTAAATAAGCAATAGCTGAACGTCATTGTTAGCATCGTAGCAGGAAATGTTAGTCAACCATAGAATATCGGATGGAATGGAGGTTACAGACTGAAGAGTTTCAGCATATTGGTATTCTTATTGAGTAACTTAGTGAAAGGCTTTATCTACGATAATACGATAAGGAGATTCGTTTATGATATTGTTAGGCTTTCTGGTATATTTTTACTTTTAGATGATCATTTGCTGACCTTTTGCAGTGATTAATGACGTTACCGATACTTATTTTAAGTCGAGTATATGAATCATTGTTAATGATATTTAAAAAAAAAAAAAAGAAAATATCTTGATTGATATTCAAAATGGTTTTTTTTTGTAAAAAACAAAAGGATTAATAGTAAAACTAATTTGCTAAAACTTTGGTTGATTGATTGATTGTGTGTTGTTCTACGTCCTGTTTGAGAATTGTTCACTCATATAGAGATTTCAACATAAACCAGATGGCCTGCAATTTAAACTCAGGACCATTGATTGATTGATTGATTGTATACTGTTTTACGTCCCTCTCCAGAATATTTCACTGATATGGAGTCGTCACCATTGCCGGTGAAGGGCTGCAAATTTAGGCCTATGCTCTGCACTTACGGCCTTTGAGCAGGGAGGGGTCTTTATCGTGCCACACCTACTGTGACACGGGGCCTCGGTTTATACGGTCTCATCCGAAGGACCGCCCCATTTAGTCGCCTTTTACGACAAGCAAGGGGATACTAAGGACCTATTCTAATCCGGATTCCCACGGGGCTCAGGACCATTGAGACGTAAGGGTTCTTTATCGGGCCAATGCCTACAGTGACAGGGTTTGTAAGACGTCATCCGAAGGACCACAACTTTCACTTCAAAGTGTCGAGCGCTTTGTGAAGAAACAGTTGCTACCTATATTTTTTATCGACTTAGGTCAGTCGCGGCCGAGATTCGAACACAAAAAAATTCAATTAAGGTTCAAGCAATCTACCAACTGAGCTACAGTACTAGTATATGTATACTCATCTCCGTACTTTTTTTTATACCCCTCTAAATAATGATGGTCATGGTTTCAAGAAAATTCGTATGCTTGCTTATATAAATCTTTAAAAAGTGTTGCCAATAACAGCTTTAATGGTCAGATAAGGGCAGTTTTAGATATATTTCCTGTGTGATCATGTACACTTTTCCATATTTGGCTCCACCATGCCTTTAAAACCGAAAAATGAGAAAATTACCTGTACTGAAAATATATAATAATTTTAAATTGAATCTATACAACCAAATGATAAAGTAATTTTACTTCAAAAAAAGAAACAAGCATTCTATAACATTCTATATATACAACAACCTATAGTCCCCTCTGGTATCTAGCAAAAGCGGGTAAATGTTTGATATTTTTATTATACAATGTAGGTGTTCGTCTATAAACACATTTTATAAAATTATAATACTTTGACTTAAATATCTACCAGTATACTACTACTGTAAAATCACATATATAGCGTGGGACCTTTTTTTGTGGTTCGAGAAAAAAATCTTGGTTCGTGTGGATTTGAATTCGTGGATGAAGAATTGTTGAGTAGTTATGTATGTAATAATTTACATGTCGTGGTGGACATGAATTCGTAGGTCTCTCAATACCCCGAAAACAACGAAAATTAAACCTCCAAGAAAATTTATGATTTCTCAGTATGTATAATTATTTACCTGCATACATTTAGTAAGTTTATCATAAATTGCTTCTGTAGCAATTGGAAGGTACAGATAAACGCTCTCATAACAGCAAAAAAAAATCGAAGGAGATAAGATATATGGAGATTACAAATAGTGTTCAAGCGCAAAAGTGCATCAAACAACACAAATTTGGAGCAGAGAAAACACAGGCCTCCGAAAAAATCAGAGGTGGGATCAGGTGCATGCCATGGAGGAGTGAGCATACCCTACCGATCTGAATTCATTTGTATTCATATCAAGCAGAATTTGTCAAAAATCTTGAAAAGAAGAAAACACTTGCTAAGGCCTTCAACTTTACATTTAGATATAATTATATTGACAACGCTTTGTCAATAAACAATGGTTATTTCCATTCTTATGTCGATACGATATATCCCCGTGAGCCTGAGATAAAAGATACCGCAGAGTCTGGCACATCTGTGTCATATTTGAATATTTTACCTGAAAAAGACGTTAACGGTAATCTAACAACCAAGCTCTATGATAAACATGATGACTTTAACTTTTCAATCGTCAACTTCCCTTACATTTTCAGCAATACGGGGACTGTTCATTAAATAATGTCCTGAGTTTTATGGCACACAGAATAGAAATCATATGATATAAAGCTTGACTTTCTCTATTGTTTGAATAGTTTATTTTATTTGATTACAATTTATGTGACCACTTTTCATCATATAGTTTCATTGAGAAGCTGGAAAACAAGAGCTATTCAAGACACTGCATTAAAAATGAAAGGTAAATAATCAGTACATTAGAGTGAAATAAAACGCTTCATTAAATCTGCAGCAAAACTTGTTAAGAATCCCAAAGAAATATACACTGAAATATGTGAAATTTACAGCAATCAATGTTTGTTTTATAGACACATGAGCAGGTGGATTTCAATGAACAAGTATGATATAATGGGCATAAAAAATGGACACCGTCCTTGGCGACAAGGACTTACAACAACCAAGGTACTGTTTGCCAAAATTTGATTGATCAAATTAATAGGCATCATTTTGGGGGTAGTTTACACGTTTTTAAAGAAACATTTGATAGAAAAGGGGGTACACAATGGTCACCCTATGTTTTGAAAAATTAGTGAAAACGACAGCATGGAAGAATATCTAAACAATTATTTTTAAAAATCAAAAATTGTAGTTATCAACGTTTGTCTGAAATTCAAACAGATAATGAATTTTGAATCTATTGCTTTAAACCCTCAAAACAAATTCACATTAAGATGCACTTGACAAAAACAGCCAAGGTCTGAGAAGAGCAGAGAATTTCAAAATCACAAAAACAGTTTTATATGTCATTTTCTTAAATATTAGTGGTCTTTTGTTCAAATTCTTATTCGGAAAGGCAGTTCAATTTCTGGAGAAGTCTAGAAAGCAATTTTTGCAAAAAAAAAAATCGAAAGGTTTATGAGAGGATGGAACCAGAATCAGGTGTCCACTAGCATGATAGCGTCCAAACCTATACACAGTGAAGAGTAAAGAGTTTTGGGGATATACATATAGTTAATGTTTTGTCACACCAACAATATTCGCCAGATTTTCACCCTTTGACTTGTTTCATTTTCCAAATTTAAAAAAACCTCTTCAGAAAGAAGAAGCAAGTCCAGGAAAACATACGATCTGTCATATTCCAGTATACGAAGAACCATACTAAAATGTGTTCTAAAAACAATCAGATATTGGGTAAAAAATGTTACGAACATGTGTTCTAATTTAAAAAAAAAGAATATTTCATTGAAATCATCAAAATTAAATCATTAAAAAGTGTTTTTGTTTCTTTCCGAGCACTGAGGACATTATTTATTGAACAGCCCTCGTATACCTTCATCAAATGCATTCGAAGTTTATATCTCTCAGTTGATTCGATACGCAAGAGCATGCTATGCGTATGTACAATTTCTAAAACGAGGTAAATTATTGACATACAAGTTGATGAAACAAGAATATCAGAAGTCTTGTTTAAAGTCATCATTTTGTAAGTTCTATGGTCGATACAATGGCCTTGTCAGCAAATATAATTTATCATTGAGTCAAATGTTGACCGACGTTTTTCATACTAATTGTTAGTCCATTATTTATACACTTATACATTATTTATATTTTTACGTCCAGATCGTGACAAGGAGCACACTGTGGGTGTTACCGGTCGGCAGAGAATGCTCAAACCTTCATAGCACCTTATCCTACCTCCGAGTTTTTCTGTTAATGTTTGCTTTGCACCTATTTTGTATTGTTTTGCGGACTTTTAAGCTTGAATACTGTTCGTTATCTCCATATATTTCACACCCGCCGTGTGCTCCTTGTTCTGGAGAAAAAAGAAAAACCCGTGGACAACTCAGTGTTTAATAATATATAAATGAGATATTTCGCGAAACATATTTTTTTTTTACAGCTTTTGATACAGAGTACAAAAAATCTCGTTGTTATATTTTAAGATACATTGCATTATCCAAATAGAAACTATTCAAAAAAAATGCTTTACAGCCAAAGTTTGTTTGTTTGTTTGTTTCTTTTCTTTTTTTTTTTTTTTTTTTTTTTTTTTTTTTTTTAAAGAAAAATATGTAATTTTTATCAATGAAATTCTTTTTAAACGCCTTGTAAAGATTTCTTTCATGATTGAAATCAGATAGTTTACAAATCTAAATTCTCGCGATTCCTGGCTCTTACATGCAACTAGATTACTTACAACTTCTACGTTCATCACTCTAAATTCGGTCAAACCCTAGAATTTCCGGTTTTATGTTTATGATTAATTTTTAATTGTGTAATCAACATGCTATAACCGACAATAAACTTTATAATTTATTATCAGTTCTTTGATTAAAGTATTGCTTTCACACTTCGTTAAAGTGTTTAATGTATATATTATGGATGAATATGGAACATATTTATGTTGCTTATAACATTTGTGTAGGTGTATATAACAAATACGAACAAATCGTGACATTCCTTTAATTTTTTTTCCTCTTTTAATTGTTAATTGCACAATCATTAAATTTTTATAAAATTGCCGCTTTGAAAGTGAAATCTTTCAAATGTTATGAAAACATGCATTTTGTTAAATAAACAAAATTGTTTTTCACATGTCCTTTATATGTCTAAAAATATCATCTCCATTCAAAGAAAGATGCATCTAACAATTGATCGCTGGCGAGAAAAAAACCTACTACTGATCCATCCTCAAGAGTGCAAACGAGCTAGCTATGAAATTTAACACATCATTCATTTTTTGTTAAAAACAAAATTGCAGTGGCAGACGATACAAAATAGGTCGAACAAGGAAAATGCATTAAAGTTATGTTTTTCATCAAATTTCAAAGAAAGTAAATGCGTCGTGTGTTTAATGTCGTTTATCGTTTAGTATTTAACTTTTTGTAGGGTGACATTTGTGAAAAGAGAATTTGAATTAAAAATTTGCTTAATTTTCCGTGCTGATCAGTTTATATTATAAACGCAAAAAATGCTTAATTTTCTTTGCTGATATCAGTTCAAATAATATTCGCAAAAAATTATGCTTAATTTTCTTTGCTGTACAGTTCAGGGCATCATGTGATTTTTTCCATATGAAGTACTTCATTTTGGACCTTTACATTCTTCGGAACAAATGAAAAACAATTTTATTTAGTATTTTACAATGCTTTGAGGAAGTCTGCATGGTAATTCAAATTCAACTTTGTTGTTGGATAATATAATATTTAGAATAAAATATATAAAGATAATAAACAGTATTCAAGCTCTGACCATTCAAACAATACAAATCAGTAAAAAAGCAAATACAAACCTAACAAACATCAGATGTGCGATTAGGTGCCATGGAGGAGTGAGCATCCCCTGCCAATAGTCCACATATCGTAATAATAACGGGGGAAAACCCGTGGACAATTCAGCCTGTTTATAATGCTCTAATAATAAGTATGAAAAAATTTCAGTCAGCATTTGATTTAACGATAGATTATCTTTACTGGCAAGGTCATCGTATCGACTAAATTACTTACGTAATGATGATTATAAACGAGACTGTTGATCTTCTTGTTTCATCAACTTGCTTGTTCATAACAAAAATTGTTTTAGAAAATGTTCATGCGTAGAGCATGCTTTTGAAAATTGAACCATCTGAGAGATAGAAACTTTGTATGCAGGAGATAAGGGTATACTAAGCATAAATAAAGGGAGTTCGTTGACATATGAAAAGTTGAAGTTATCTCGTTAAGTTTTGTTGTTAGGTTACCATTAACATCTTTTTTGAACAACATCCAATAAATGAAACAGATATGTCTGACTCTGTGGTATTTTTTATTTTAAACTTTCTGGGATATATTGTGTCGACATATGAATGGAAATCACAATTGTTAATTAAAAGTACATTTTTGATACATCTAAACGTGCAATGATAGACCAAAACAAGTTTTTTTTTCATGTGTAATATTTTGAATAAATTCTGCTTTATATGAACACAACGGATTTACAATTTAGAAAAACTGCTTTCTTTGAAAGGAAAGTTGGATTACGATTGATAGAACTAAAACCAAGTTTCTCTATAATGAACTGAATTAATGATTCACCTTGTTGCATACTAGTACTTTGTAAGCTAGAACCAGTAAAATCTCTTTTTCTGTCACTTCTAAATTACTAAAGGCAGAAGGATAGATTTTAATATGCATTCCACTTTAAAACGAGATTTTAAAATGCACATATTATCTTGGTGTATATGCTATATACAGTGTAACTTTAATATGGAAGATGTGTTAAGGTTAACCATTTTCTGGGTTTCCCTTCTATGCAACTAGTGGATTGATATTAAAATTATCAATCACGCTCACCGTAAATCACGTTTAATTAGCTAGACCTTGCTTCCGTGTAATTACGCAAGTTTCTTTTCTCGCAAAATATTCATCATACTATTTGAATCAATACTACTAAAGGTTCTGGAGAACATTGGAATTCGTGTAAATTTTTATCCCGCTTATAAATATAATATTACTCCATCGCGGATACAAGTTGTGCGAATATGTTGTACAAATGTAATTACCGTACTGCGTACAACGACGTAAATACTGACAATAAAACGTCTCGATTGTGTAACATTGGGTAAAATGATTGTAATCATTGAAGACAGTTTAAATATGAAAAGTTTACGTTTTCTGCAAATTTGTTTTCGGTATTTTTTTATTGTTTAAATAAATATGTTTATATACCTCTAGATTTGAATTTCGTATAATTACTTTATTCGTGTTGATTTTCTTTTCAGTGTATAGCTTTCTTTACTTATTCCTGGAGACTTGGAGAGTTCCTTTGCAAGTTTGTGAACTACCTTCAGAATTTGTCTATAATCTGCTCCGTCATGACACTGACAGGATTGAGTCTAGAAAGGTATTTTTTTTGTCAAATAGGAAAATTCTTTAACAATCAGATCAAGTGAAAGTTTAAATAAAATACCCGTTATGGAGATAAGGAACAGTTCAAACCAAAGCCCATCAAAACAATACAAGTATGCAGCAGAACAAACACATACCTCCCAAAACATAGAGGTGGAATTAGGTGCCTTGGAGGATTAAGCATTCCCTGCCTACAGCTCACACTCACCTTGTGTTCCTTGACATATTGATAGCTAGCAGTTTCGTCATCAACCCGATTTATAAAAATAAAAAACAATTTTAAAAGCAAATTATGATATTGCGAAGTACACATATTATGAAAATATTAATTATTTCTTTGTGTGTTAAGAATTAAAATCCTATAACATTATTTCGTCCGATCAGTCTCATGATTACAAGTTTTGAATGAGAATCCCAAACTGGGTCAAGTACAATAGACTGGGTTCCTTCCAAGATAATACGCCTGCATTTTACCATATAATCTATTAGGTATCATACATATTCACAAAGATTTAGAACCAATCAAGTACGCAAGGATTGGCTATAACGAAGGGAGCAGCAATTCGCAAAACAATCGAAAATAGAACACTATGCACGAAAGACAAAAGGACAATCATTCATCTTGGATAAACACCCCCCTTACATTCCCAGGGTCCTATTGCACGCAGACATAATAATTAAAAATACATGTACATAATTTAACTATGTTTATATTAAGCAATTTTGATTTTTGCCTGCATTGCACTTTTCATCGAGAGTGAATATTGATCGTGTATTTAATTAAATTTTAATTACAGATAATTATAAAATTAGATTTAATACACAAGGAATAAGTACGATCGATATGAATGAGCAGTATTTTAGATTTTTTTTCTTTCATTATTGATAATAACATATATGAAGTCAATTGAGTTTGGGTTTGTTATTCTAATAAAGTACCATGCACAGACTGCAATAAATAAATTATTGAACCGAGTGGTTCGTTTTTGTTATATGGGTAAATCACATTCAAGGCATCCATTATGTAATTTCCTGTCTTCTTTTGTTGCAAACTCCAAGCTTATAAAAAACCTATTACTTTACTGTATCCTAATGCGTTCCTTAAGAGGATGTCATTAAATAGCTTCATTATGATACCACATCGAACCTTGTTTTTCTTCAATCAAGGTGGAAGTTTTGAAGTCAATCAACTTTCTTTTTTTAAGTTGAAAAATGTCATTATGTGTGATATTCAGCCATGCTGAATATTTGACATTTGTGAGTAATTTCATTATGATGATTATGTTAAAAAGGGTATTTCAAGAGTCTGATATTTCATGACACAGGCACCAAACTCGCTTGAATTTTTGACCCTCTAGTATATTATATTATAATGTTCTAGGGGGTCAAAAATTCAAGCGAGTTTGGTGCCTGTGCTTTACCAATCCTCATATTTTGTACATTTCGTTTTATTTCTCATTTTGATATTAAGAAAATCAGAAAAAAATGATGTGTTTTTGAAATACAGATGTCTAAAAATATGTCAGCTCAAAGCCAAAAGTAAAGTTTTTAAAATTTAAATGTAGGTTAAAACATAGATCAATGGTAAAAATGATGCTATCTAATAAAAGGTCTGAATATTTGAAAGTTCTGAAATCACAAAGCCCTGACATTGTATGGATGATTATTACAGTACATTGATTGATTGATTGAATAATTGGTGTTTAACGCCGAGTCGGCAATATTTCAGCTTTATTTCGAGCATCTGTAATGTAAAAGCCCTAGCTCCAATATACCCTAACAGTTTTGGCCAAAGTTTGAAATCATGTACATCCCGAAACAAAATGGCTGCTATGTTACAACGCACTTTGAAAAATTACGCACTTTGAAAAATAAAATTTCTTTTCAAAGTAAGTTGATATCGACCATATTAACGCACTTGAAAAAATATGTATGTCTTGGTCAATATTCTTGCAAATCTTGGGTATAATAATAATTTAACCTGATTGATAACTCTTTGGTGATGAGGTCACTTCCGGATGTGAAAGTGAGAGATTTTGATTTTACCATACTTTGAAAATTATTTCTTTCTTAAATGTGTTACTGTACTTTATTTTTTCCAGTTTGCATGGCATGCATGTAATGTAAACTAAAATTTATTGAAAGTTTTCATCGTCATACCACTTATGCAAATACATTTATCTGGGTGTAGCATAGGCATCGGTAGCAGGGGGTCTACACACAAATGTTTTGCAAAGATATACATAATGACATTAAAAATTGGGGGGGACACTTTCAATTTGCTACCGACAGCTATGTATAAGAAAGAGTTTGACTGAGAGACCTTCTATATACTCATCTTCTTGTTCTCAATGAAAGTAAATCAATACATGTACATGTAAATTAAAACGTTTTTCGAAAAATATAATTATTACAAATTAAGTCTCTCAATTACTAAAATCTAAGTCTATAATTTTTGTTTTATACATATTTTTTTTCAAAGTGCGTTAAACCTCCACATGATAAAAAAGGTTTATGTACACTCTTAACGCACTTTGAAAAAGTTTTTCAAAGTGCATTGAGTATGTCCCAAATTTAACGCACTGTTACAACGCACTTTGAAAAATTACGCACTTTGAAAAAAAATTTCAAACTGCGTTGAAATTTGGGACCAAGCTAACGCACTTTGAAAAAAAATTTTTTTTTTCAAAGTGCGTTAATATCGACCATATTAACGCACTTTGAAAAAAAATGTAAAGATTGGTCAATATTCCTTCAAATAATCGGTATGATAAATAACAGATCCTGGTTTGATAACTTTTTAATGATAAAGTCACCGTAGGACCTGAGATATTGACGTTTTAAAAATTTAAGGTTTTGATAAAATAAAAGGGAAAATTAAAGGGTCTTGAAAAAAAAGTGGCGATTGTTTAAGTTCATTAATTCGTTTCTTCTTCTTCTTTTTTTTAAATTCTAGTCTTTAAAAAGTAGATGTAAAGGTGTATAGGGGGTACTAACAGAGGACAGCTTCAAGCAACTTAGCATTTATCATGATAAAAAGGGGCCAATTTGATTGTTCAAAACTATGAAAATTCTTTCTCTCTCATACGTTTTACTGTACTTAAAATTTCTAGTTTTCATCTGTTTTAATTAACTCATTTATTATTGAAAGCTTTCAACGTCATACCAGTTAGGTAAATACATAATTATATGAATGCTTTGAGTATAGCATAGACATCGAGACTGGGCGAAGGACCATGGGAGGGGATGGGAGGCTAAGCCCCCCACTTATTTTGGAAAGATATATACATCGTATAAGCATTGAAAATGCAGCGTGCCATTTTTAGGTTTATTGCTCCCCTCCCCGTTTGTTACCGACACCTATGTATTGGAAAAAATTTTCAAAGTGCGTTGATTTTGTCCCAATTTTAATGCACTTTGAAAAATTTTTTCAAAGTGCGTAATTTTTTCAAAGTGCGTTGCCACAACGCACTCTGAAAATTTTTTTCAAAGTGCGTTGATTTTGTCCCAATTTTAACGCAGTTTGAAAATTTTTTTCAAAGTGCATAATTTTTTCAAAGTGCGTTGCCACACTGCGCTTTCAAGATTCTTTTCTCTCTTAAATGTTTTAATGTAATCATTTTTTTCCAGTTTGCATACATTTTATGTAAACTAAAATTTACTGAAAGATTTCAAAGTCATACCAGTTATGCAAATACATATATGTGGGTGCAACATAGGCATCGGTACCGGAAGGGGGGCTTAGGCACACAAATGTTTTGCAAAGATATACATATAATAGGCATTGAAAATTGGGCTTACCTGGGGGGGGGGTTCCACTTTCAATTTGCTACCGACGGCTATATACAATTTTAAGCTGAGAGACCTATATATTTCTCCTTGTTCTCAATGAGGTTAAATGAGTACATGTAAATTTAAAAGTTTTTCGAAAGATATAGTTATTACAAATTGATTCTCTCAAATACTAAAATTTTAGTCTAAATTTTTTTTTTCAAAGTGCCTAAAATATCCCAGTAGTAAAAAATGCGTATATATGTACACTCTTAACGCACTTTAAAAAAAATTTCAAAGTGCGTTGCCAAACTGCGTTGCCACACTGCTATAAAGGTGCATTTCATGATATGGACCTCTCAGAAAATAATGTCAGATTGTAATGCATTGTCAGCTTTTCATGATACTGTAATTTACATATATATATATATATATATATATATATATATATATATATATATATATATATATATATATATATATATATATATATATATATATATATATATATATATAAAATTTACTTTACTTTACATTTTCAGATACTACGCTATTCTCCATCCGATAAAGTCTAAGTATGTGTGTACAATCAGCCTAGCCAGACGAAGTGTTGTCTGCATTTGGATTCTGAGCGTCATCATGGCAACCCCAACTCTTGCAGGCCAGGTAAATTGAACTGTGTATAGACTAGTTACATGAGTTATATAGAATAAATTTATTTAAGGGCATTGGCAAGGTTCCTGACTTTAGTATAGAAATTTTCAAGAACTTTTGAAAATGTTTAATGATACCAAACATGTTTATTCTAATTCTTTAACCCACCAAACCGGCCTTCCTTTTTAGATTTTGTTGAGTCAATGTTTTCACAATTCTCAATCCATTTCCTATAAAAAAAATGTTGATAAAAAGGACCTACATTATTTTCAACCATATGATTTCTCTAAAACCCATTTATTTCACTATTTTCTTTGTACCGGATATTTCTTAAAATTAAGGAAAGGAAAAAAATCGTTAGATTTTAGCGGTAAGCAAAGAGCCAATACTCTTCTATTAGAGTTCTTACTTGCTTATATTGGTTTCTAGTATTGCATGCAGTTGAAATGCGACAGAAATAGGCACATTTATATAATATGATAATATTATCATTTCATGTTCATTAGTTGAACCTGATTCGTCAAGATACATAGTTTAAAAACACATTACCTTATGATTGATAAATAACATTCTCCAACGTTTTAGAATATAGCAATAATTAACAGTATTTGGCATTTCCAAAAATGACTGTAAAGAACATATGCACGTATCGTTCCCTGTAACATGTACTTGTTTAAAACATCACATATAAAATAATAACATAATAAATATTGCATGTAGTTGAAAGTAAACATTATGAATTTTTACTCCAAGGAAACCATAATAAGTCCACTTTTTATTATATTATACTGAATGTTTAATACAAAAAAAAAAAAAAAAAAAACAACAGGTGAAACACATGCATATAGTTTCTGCACTGTCAATTCTTTTTTATATCACTAATCAATGTTCTCTGTTGACAATTTATATAGCTCTAGGGACGTGATTTCCTCATTAAAACGGAAACCGTGTTTTACCACAAAAAAATTATGAGGAATAAAATTTTAAAAATTACATGAAATTATAATAGATGTATTGAAAAAATGTATAGTACTGGAAATTATTATCCACCCCCAAAAATAGCTGACTAAGATAAAGCTCGCTAGAATGTAATATATTTGTAATATTCTTGTCACTGTTTTATTAGACTCACAAGTTGGTAGGTACACACCGGAATGCCCATTGGTGTATATTGGAGTGGGAAAATACCTTTGTACAGAGATTGTATGGTGTTTACATGTTCCTGATCATCTTGTTCGTCCCATTCGTGATTCTAAGTTTCACTTACACCAGCATCTGTAGAAAACTATGGAAAATGGATGGACGCGACCAAAATATAGGGTAAAACAGTACTTTTTAAAATACTTCAGTTATGTACACATGTATGTAAGCATATACTTGATTTTTGCCTGTAACGTGAAGTAAACCAAAAACAAAAGTTCCCTTTCCTTTTCTTTGTGAGTAATATATATTTAATATAATCACAAAAAGTCGTCGGGATCACAAAATTGATAAAATATCATTTATGTTAAAAACTATACACTCAATTTTAATTCACGCCTTAGCAATGTCAATGACAAAGAAGAGACTATCCAACTTCGACGAGTGTTGTCAAGACGAGACAAAAAAGTCATCACCAACAGAGGAACTCATAGCGATGATACTTATTCCAGGAAGCAGGTAGTCTGCACGTGGAGAAAGTCATGAATAATTGATCTTTTCTAGCATAATTGCAAGAACCAGTTGTCATTTTTACAACAACAAAAAAATACTTGTAGTTCAAAATTGTAAACATTGACAATTATTTGTTAATTAAGATATCATTTTTTTTCCAAAGGGATTCATAATTTAAACTGTATCTTAATGTTATAGAAATACACCATTTTGTCCATTATAGCTTAGACCATCTTTAAAATAATTTTTTTTTTCTTTCTCAAAGGGCAAAGTAATTATAGGTAACCAAGTATTTGTATCTGCAGATCATATGGCAGTTTTATTTGATAGATCTGAATATATAAAGAATTACATTTTGTGACCGATTTAACTGTTAACAAATTTATTCAGATCCCATTGTGGTCATTGCTTTAAAAATATTGAGACTTGATGTGCCATAACTTTGGAATTAATTGAAGTTCTAAGATCAGATTACTTGACTTTTATTTTTATTTTACATCTAGGTCGTGAAGATGCTTGTAACCATTATCATCCTGTTTATGATCTCATGGGGACCAATAACGACCAACAATCTCTTGGTATCCTTTGACATCCTAGACAACTTGCACATGGGAACGTTGAAACACGTCCGCCAAGCGTTTTATGTGTTATCGTACTTTAATAGTTGTGTCAACCCAATTGTCTATGGGTTCATGTCCAAGAATTTTAGGAAGGCGTTTATCATTGCACTAGGCTTTATGTGTTTTGGTCGCAGACAGAGAAGCCGATTCTTCGATGAAACTGTCGTACGTTTTTCTACAGAAAATCGCTCTAGCAGTGTAGTACAGAGTTATCAATATAGGATTTCTAAACAGTTCACGAGGGAACAGAACACCTATGTACACTGAATCATGTATAGGGAAATTTCTATTTGAAGTGTATACCGGTAATAAAAATAAAGAAGTGTCAAATAATAAGGAAATAAGAAGCCAATTGATTACATTTAGTACCCTTTATGACCATTGTAAAAAATGTCGTCAGATATGCAATTCAAAATAAAGGTATGAATGACAATGAACTGAAGACATCTCCAACTTCAAGATGGACATTTATCTATAGGGCAACCATAGTCATGGTCGGCGTATTAATATTTATTATAATTTCAATATCAAGAAGTACCTGACTGTGTATCCACCACTTATGATTTTTTTATTTTCAATTTTACTTTATTCTTTGCCATCACCTGTTTTGTTAATACAGATTTATTGGAATAAATGGCTAGCATATTTAGTCCAGCTATCGTTTGTCATTTATAATGTTATCTTATGTTTCATAAATCCAACAAGCTATCCCGAAGTTTGCAAGAATAAAACCAAACAGTATCTGTTGAAAATTGTAATTAATGTAAGAGAGATATGTGGAATCTCTGCTTTATAGCAGATGTTGTTATTGGGCATATTGTCTATATAGAAATAAGGCCTTCAAAAAGATCATTGAATTGATTATCTTCATATTAAGTACGAAGTCATCATTAAAGAAAATATCGTAATCAAAGCTATATTTTTCACGAATACGACAGCATTTCATTTTCAATGAAATGGACTACATGTATATACATTTCATGAATCGAATAATTCTTCTTGTCCTAGACGAACACTTGCAAAGCATGTCAAATCATTCAAATTTTGAAATACCGAGAAAATAACGTACATTTACATTTATCAATATCTTGGAACTTCGCTATTTACCACACACATATGAGCTTGTTCTCAAGAAACATGCCTTTAAGCTGAAATAAAATGAAAATAATGAGCAGACTTCTGTGTATTTAGAAGATCTTATCTCTAAAAGAGGCTGTTATAGAACGGAATAACTATAGGTACTTGCCTTGAGTTCATAAACGAAATTCTATAGTGGATACAATGACCTCATCAGCAATTACAGTTTATCATTGAGTCAAAAACTGACTGACGTTTTTCATACTTATTGTCAGTCCATTATTTAAACAATGAATTAACGACGGATTTTTTCGTTATTTCCCGAGAACGACAGGGGGCACAATGTTGGTGGGACCTGTCGGCAGAGGATGCTCACTCCTCTATTGCACCTGATCCCACACCTGATGTTTTGGAGGTCCGTGTTTGCTCTTCTCCTATTTTGTATCATTTTATGGACTTCAGAGAATGAATACTGTTCGTTATCTCCATATATTTAATTTCAGTATAAAGCATCTATTGTAAAGCTATCGATAAGAGACAAAAGAAAGGAAACTGTTCCTTTATGTTCGGATAGTCAGTATGCACTATTCGTTTCCAAGGTAAGAAATCAACGCCACAACTATCATGTCTTCAATGAAAATTTCACGATATATAGCCATGATTTAGTACTATGTTTTGCACATATACTGCAATGAAAAGTAATTCAATTTCAAGTTTTATGATTAAAAAAAACACAAACACACAACACAATGCTTTTATTTCATTAATAGTGGGAACTCATCTCGAAATATAACTTATCCAAAGACAGAGATTCAACAAATATTTATATCAACTTCTGCTTGAGTTGAGAAAATATAAATACAAAATCTTCCAAAAAGATCAAATAAAACATAAAGAATTCAATTCAAGGTAATTTTTTTAATTTTAAGAAAGTATCAAATTTGTTCTTGCTTCGAGGACTAACAGAGAAGTCAATTTGTTATCACAAATTTTATGATTCATTTACACTATCGATTTCATATGAAATTTGGATATCAAATATTACGATGTATTTAAACAATCTTTTTGTAAAAGTTCATTACAATATTGTTTTTTTCCAAGAGATATGAAGAACATAAGGACGATTTAGGATACATTGAGGGAGAAGAAAAGTGTTTTACTTTTTTCCATGTACTTTATGGTGTTTTCCCCAACCTCGCAAAAAATCAATCATATGCAAGCATATCATAAAAAGAACGATAAAAACATTTGCTTTGTAAAGGAGGACAAGATATTATGCTACGTTCAAGCTCAAATTCAATTTATTCACTCAAACCAATTAATGGTACATGGGGTACTACAATGTATGAACAATATATACAAAAAACAATGTACAAGATACACGTGAAATGGCGGAAATACATTCATAATGTGAAGTAACAAAAATATTTATGGAGGACAAACTTTTTCATATACATGTACTCTATTTATGTAACTGCATAGTTTAATTTATACTTTGGAGTCAGCAGGTGACAACAATTCTGCGAATTTGAAAAAAATTGGTCTGTTACAATATTTACTAGGTACATTGTAGATATTTTTTCTGCATTCTGAAAAAAAATTGACATTCTAAAATGTAGTGATATTCATCAGCTATTTGTCCATTATTACATAGATTACATAGTCTATCATTTTTGGGAATTCCAAACCATCTCCCAGTCTCAATTGGGAGACGATTATTTGCTGTTCTTAAGGGACTCCGACCCTTAGCCAAGAAGGACAACTCTTTAATTTATAATTTAATTCAAAAAGTCTTTAGCTTGAAAATTAAATATTTTCATGCAACAATTTTCATTATATGCCTCTTAATGTGCTTCAAGGTTCATTAAAGCTCCATAAATCACTTCTAATTTCATATCATGTTAATAAACATTGGTATCTAAAAATACTTTTTCGGGATAAAAATTTCTACTTTTAATAAGACCTTTCTGAGAAGTTCAAAGAACCTTGAAGCACACTGAGAGGCATATAATGAAAATTGTTGCATGAAAAGATTTAATTTTCAAGCTTCATTTAAAGACTTTTTGAATTAAATTATAAATTAAAGTGTTGTCCTTCCTGGCTGAGGGTCGGAGTCCCTTAATTTAATTAGAAGTGTTCCATATATTTTAGATAGTAAGTCTAAATATTTTTCAAATCCAAATTATGTTTTGAAGATACTATACATAAGACCTTTAGATGAATCGCGTATATTACTTCTTTAACACGTTTTAAGTCTTTTAACATTTAAAAATGTCTAATCATTCCATACATTTGAGAGCCATTCCATACATTTGAGAACTATCAAGTATATTTTCACAATCTTATTTTCAGGGCTTACCAATAATTTCGCCCTATAGGATATTATCCTTACATACACCTGCATGGTCTGCAGAAATAGCGAGAATACGATCAAAAATGGCGGACACAACCCTTTTACAAACCGTGTTCAGCTTTAAACTTTTCTGTTCGGAAAAGGGTATACAACTGTACAGTGTATTTGACTATAATCTAACAATATATTGTATAAAATCTTTTTCCTGCCAAATTTTTTACATACACCCCCAAACCCCTTTGAAATTGTTTTGAAAATATGATAAAGTGATTAAAACATAATAATTTCTTTTCTTTCATCAAAGTGTCATTTCTTACTAGTATAGTCATAGGATACAGCATCGCGTTATAAATCCAAGGATTTTTTTCACTTTGATCTTTTAATGTTCTTAATGTTGCAGCAGACAAGGCTTTTAACAATAACGTCTTTAATGTCCATTATTATATCTGTATTAGAACTTTTTTTAATGCTACGTCTGATAATTAAACTTATACCCACAGTTCAATTTCTAGAGAGGAAATTCTTCAAATCACATTTCGATGGGTAATTCTTTTAACGTTCCAGTCATCCAAGTTCAACTGGATCTACCCTGCCCTCACTTGAAGATACCTGCCATCTCATTGGTATTTTTGCAGAATGTGAAAATTTTGACATGCTTATGCAGGGTATGAGGCTGGGTTAATTAAAGTAGCATAACTGCGTCTTCCAATTTTGAAAAGATTGACAAACCTGTTTACATTATTTACTAAGATGACATAAATTATAGAAAACTAGTATTAGCCGATGATTTTTTTTTCAAATTTTATCAAACATCAGTATTTTTCTAATTGTCTTTTGAGCTTTTATATTATTGTATATGAGTAGGTGCTGACTTTAAATTTGGTAATCATTTTTAAATCATCTCACAAGATCAGCTTCTTACCTTTCTACAAAACAACGTGTCAAGGGTTCACCAAGAACTTAAAAGAATTAATTAACGTTGAAACTTAGTTGAAAGAAAAGAAACTTATATTTACGGGAAATAATTTCACCAAGTTTTACAGAGAAACGTGTGGTTCGTTAGATTATCTCGGAAAGTTTGGATGCTAGATTCCAGCTGTAAGAGAGAAACAATTTTCAAATGAAAGAACTAATACTAATGCATTTTCAATGTATGGTCAGCTTAATTAGTACTTCTCTGTGGTCTGAGTATAGAAATAACATTTCACGACTCTAGTTAAAGTTCGTTTAATCTTGCAAATATTATGTATGAAAAATCAAAGTGATATTTTCACTTAAGAAAATATAGGGAGATAACGAACAGTATTCAAGTTCAAAAGTCCATTCAAATAATACAAATCTGGAACATAGCAAACACAGAAGTCTAAAACATCAGAGGTACCACAGAGGAGTGAGCATTCCCTGCCCACCAGTCACATCCGCCGTGTGCTCCTTGTCATGAGCGGAAAATAACGGAGAATCCGTCGTCAATTAAGAGTGTAAATGATGAACCAACAATAAGTATGAAAAAAGTAAGTCAGCATTTGAGGCTTTGATAAATTGTATTTGCTGACAATGTCACTGTATCGACCACAGAACTTACGAAATGATGTATTTAAACGAGGTGATATTCTTGTTTCATCAACTTGTTTGTCAATAATTTGAATATTAAAAATAAAGACAGGAAAGTCTTATCTCTATAAATAGTAAGAAACAAAAAATAAGATCTATTTCATTTTAGTAAGACTGAAATCACCAAAAATATGCCATATCTTACTTTAATGAACGCCAATGATTATTGCGAGGGAAAAACAAATCAATTTTAAACGTACAATTGCTTTATCTTTACAATTATAATTTAACAGGGAAATTGTTTTAATTGTTTTTTAATTCAATTGAGCAATACCTGTATAAACAACAACAAAACAAAACATTACCTGTATACATTTCAATGTTCCAAGAGTATTAAAAATGTTTAATTATTCGATATCATTTTAAGAAATCATACAGAAATGATGACTTAAGTCTATATTCAGTTTAAAGTCTTGAGACTTGCCTACCTTCTTTAACGAGGCAAATTTTGAAAAATTAATATTGTTAGTACCTTTATACTCCACAAAATTATTATATTATGGAATCTCTACTCAATATCTAGAGGACAAGAAGTAAATAGTATAGGGTATATTGGTCATGACTTTTATGCATATACTCTGTACACTAAAG